TCAGATCTTAAGTTTATCAAGCCATAGCTTCTGTAATCAGGCATCAAGAATTATAGATATAATCACAGTTCTTAAATTAATAATAATCTTAATTAGTTGGGAAAGTTTAGTTCCAAATTTCATCAAAGCAGAAACAAATCAGCACAATTTAAACAGAAACAACATGTCTTTCTACACACAAACATGCTCAGCCTGGAAAACGTCTCACTTTTTTTTTTTTTCTTTTACAGGATTTAAACAGATCAAACTGACAGGACTCTTGTTCTGTAACTTTATTGTTTTGCTTTGCTAAAACCGATTTCAGGGTTAATTCTATAACTGATTTCATTCGCTGCTATCATCTGTGTCATCAAAATAATCATCATCATCGTCATCATCATCATCTGACCAGTCGAATTCACTGAAACCCAAGGCCATGTTGATTTTCTTTCCTTTTCTCATAGAGGTGGTTTTAGAAGAATTCTTTTTGGCTTGCATGTTTATCTGCATTCCAGAATGCAGGACAGATCCTGCTTGATTCAGAGAGAAGATATCCCCAAAGCCCGTCATCATCAAGGCCTTCAGACTTTGGTTCATGCCAGCTACCTCCCCGTTACTTGTTGCTGTGATCTGACATGACATCTCTGCACTGTTTGACTCCTCTGTTTTAGATTCAAAGTAAGACTCCTCAGACATTCTTGCAGCAAGAGGTAAGAAAAACTATTTAAAGGAGGAAAGGACAGAGCAAAAGTGAAAGTTAGAACCAATTTAAAAATCGAGGGGAAAAAAGACACCACCAGATTAGTTGGTAATCAACAGAAAGCACAACGATTAGTGAATCTAAACATGGAGATCAAGTAAGAATTCATTAAACCAGACAGCTTCATTCTGGGGTCATTGTTCTTAACCAGAAGTACAAAATCACTGAGTCACAAGAACCACAGGTAGCAGCACTTTCATGACAAAAGAAGGTTCAAACTCTTCAAACCCTCATTTCGTACAGTGTAAAACAGAATGTGACATTTCCCAGCCTGGTGGACTGGTTCCCAAGACAATGCAGGTACAACAGAAGTCAGAATGAGTTGCTTAACTGAACCTTTCAGGATTGAAGAATAAATCACGTTAAGATCAGAGAACCCAAAGAAGCTCCCAAAGCTTGGTGCAGAGGTAGCAGCCCTCTAAATATCAGAAATAACAGCAGCAGTATTATTTGTGCAAAGACTGGTTTTGAGCGTACGCTCAAACAGAGAGGAAGGGGTCACCCTGCGACGGCTGCAATCAGAAATGAGCCTCTCACCAATGCAAAGGACACCAGAACTGGCATCCAGCCTTAACCAGCACCTTGCTTCTGGAAGCTGTCCCAGGGAAGAGCAGGCAGGGGAAGAGGGTCTGCTTGGTCAGCTTCTTCAGCTTGGTTGCCTTTTTTTTTTTTTTCTTTTGTTAGTTGCATCAATAGATATCTGCCATTTGGTTGTACATCACATTAAATCTCTACTGATTTAATCTTCACCTACAGATAATGGTGCTTTCCTGACCCAGTCTGTTTGTAGTAACAAATGAAACGTGCCCTCTCCAGCTAAATAATGATTAATGCCTCTTCACAGTGGCCGGGCTAGTAACCTCTGTGACACGCTTGCCTGTTGTCCACAGGGAGTAAAAACTCAAGAGTTTCATCCCAAATTAAACTACCTACTAAAGCAGCAGCAAAGGAGCTGTGTGTGAACACCTGAACTGGCCTTTCATTCCAAAGCTGTTTGCAAAACTACTTGCCCAAAATTCACGGTTCTCCACATCTTTTTTAACCTAATCAGAAAACTGACTGAAGAGTCAACAGCAATTGGTCACAAGGGGTTATGGGGGTGCTTAAGGTGATGCCCTGGTCTGTAACACAGGAGGCTGCATGGCCAGGCTGCTCAAAGAGTACCCGTTTCTTGGCAAAACCACTTACATTGACAAATTGCCTATCGTTAAAAAGGACAATATCTGTCTTTTGTTCCTATCAAGTTTTTCCCACTTACATAAGCTTTCTATTTACATTGTGGGTAACAAAAGTTAGTGGTCATGGTTTAAGAAATGAAAACAAAATTAAGAAGTTGGGGAGACGGGGTGCCCTAAATTCTCTTCATGTGTCCTATGACTAAGTGACAAAAGAACCTGCAGCTAAGATTCTGTACACCTGGCTGTACGGGGGGAAAAACAATTACACCATCACCAGAGTGCTACTTGGACCAAAGACACCAAAAGCTTCTACTGATAAAGAGAAGGAATATTTTAAAAACAAGTTCTAGCCACAGAAATGAGATACCCAACACACATGACTCAGTGCCAGGTAGTTCTTTCATCAGCTATTGGAAGTTTTAGTCACTTCAGATCCATGGAAAAGCATCCCCTGATATATGGGAATAATTCCCTATAAAAATCAACAAAACTGCAGAACAGCTTTCCTCTAAAACATGTTTCTGGGTCAGTGTTTGTGAAATGCCTGGCAGTGGGTAAGCTGCAAACAGGCCATAACCGTGGCTCATTTTGTGAGTTATAATCACCTTACTTCCTCCATATTTTGACATCTTGTTATCTGGAGAACTCAGGAGCTCTTTATGACAGGACCTGTCTTCGGTGTTACACTACATATGATAACTATCACAAAGAGATTTTTATAGACGTCTGGGATCCCCAATCTCTGCACAAGTCACTGTTCTTCTTAAATGACCACCTGCAGGTGCACAGCACCACAGGTGAATATCTGGATTTCATGTCTTGCTCACTGTCTTCCTCTAAATACAAGCTTCACTTAGCTACATACACTCTCGTCTTAAAGTCAGGTTCTCTTTCAAAAGAAGTCTCCCATTTCCCT